AACTCTTGGTTTAAACACTCGGTCTGTCCATCAGATTGAGGTTGGTAGCCTGAACTCAATGATGGTTTAGCCCCTAGGGCAGTACAAAAAGCCCTCCAAACTTGTGAAGTAAACTGAGGACCTCTGTCTGACACTATATCCGTGGGAATTCCGTGAAGTCTAAAAACATGTTCCACCAAAAGTTTAAAGGTCTCTGACACTGTGGGAAGCTTTTTCAGTGCCACAAAATGGGCTATCTTAGAGAATCTGTCTATAATAGTGAGAATTACTGTGTTCCCCGAGGAATCAGGGAGCCCAGTGACAAAGTCCAAGGCGATGTGGGACCATGGACGGTGAGGTGTTAGTAAAGGATGTAGATACCCTGAAGGTCGCTGATTGCGGAGTTTTTTTTATGCACAAACCGTGCAGGCGGCCATATACTCCCTCAGATTCCTTTCTAAAGTGTCCCACCAAAAATGTCTCTTAAGGAAAGCAGCTGTTGTACCTTGACCCGAGTGGCAAGTGAATCTTGCTGTATGGACCCACTCTAAAACCTTGGCCCGGGCAGATTCAATTAAATTAAATTCAATTTTATTTATATAGCGCCAAATCACAACAAAAGTCGCCTCAAGGCGCTTCATAGATACAGAGAAAAACCCAACAATCATATGACCCCCTATGAGCAAGCACTTTGGCGACAGTGGGAAGGAAAAACTCCCTTTTAACAGGAAGAAACCTCCGGCAGAACCAGGCTCAGGGAGGGGCGGGGCCATCTGCTGTGATTGGTTGGGGTGAGAGAAGGAAGACAGGATAAAGACATGCTGTGGAAGAGAGACAGAGGTTAATAACAGATATGATTCAATGCAGAGAGGTCTGTTAACACATAGTGAGTGAGAAAGGTGACTGGAAAGGAAAAACTCAATGCATCATGGGAATCCCCCGGCAGCCTATTGCAGCATAACTAAGGGAGGATTCAGGGTCACCTGGTCCAGCCCTAACTATATGCTTTAGCAAAAAGGAAAGTTTGAAGCCTAATCTTGAAAGTAGAGATAGTGTCTGTCTCCCGAATCCAAACTGGAAGCTGGTTCCACAGAAGAGGGGCCTGAAAACTGAAGGCTCTGCCTCCCATTCTACTTTTAAATACTCTAGGAACAACAAGTAGGCCTGCAGAGCGAGAGCGAAGTGCTCTAATAGGGTGATATGGTACTACAAGGTCATTAAGATAAGATGGGGCCTGATTATTTAAGACCTTGTATGTGAAGAGCAGGATATTATGGTCGACAGTATCGAACGCTGCACTGAGGTCTAGCAGGACAAGCACAGAGATGAGTCCACTGTCAGAGGCCATAAGAAGATCATTTGTAACCTTCACTAAAGCAGTTTCTGTGCTAGGCATAAAGCGACAACCTGCCGGCCCAGTGCCCGAGTCAGGCTCCGTCCGAAGAGCCCGCTCGATGATGTTTTGTACCTCCCAGTGACTGCTCCAACCTTGCAGGAAGCCGACAGGATGGCGGGTTTAGAGTATGATTCCTCCTCTATCTCAAACTGTCGAGAAACCACTTGGTAACTGCTTTTACCTTTGCCGGGTCCATCTTCACCTGCCCCCCTGCCAGCACATATCCCAAGAAGGAAATAGAGGACACGTGAAGCTCACATTTCTCAGCTTTGACATCGGTTTTCCAATACTCTCTGGAGCACTGCTTGCACTTGCAGCACATGTTCACGAATGTCCTTAGAATAAACCAAAATGTCATCTAAATTAACAAAAACAAAACCATCCAAAAAGTCTCTTAGGTCATCATTTACAAGAGCCTGGAAGACCGTGGGTGCATTTTTCAACCCAAAAGGCATTACCAAATATTCAAAGTGCCCTAAAGGCGTGTTAAAGGCGGTCTTCCATTCATTCCCTTCCTTAATGCCCACCAAGTGATAGGCATTACGTAAGTCTAATTTAGAAAAGACTGTGGCACCCTGCAGACATTCAAAAGCCGAGCTGATTAGGGGCAAGGGATATTTGTTTTTGACTGTTATTTCATTTAAACCATGGAAAACAATGCAGGGTCGGAGCCCCCCATCCTTTTTCCCCCACAAAGAAAAACCCAACCCCCACAGGTGACGATGAAGGACGTATTATGCCTGCTGCGAGAGATTCTTGTATGTACCTCTCCATGGATTCATGTTCAGGTTTGGAGAGGTCATGAAGACGGTTTTTAGGGAGGGGAGCTCAAGGAAGCAGATCAACACTACAGTCATAGGGTCTATAGGGAGGTAATGAACAGGCTCTATCCTTTCTAAACACCTTCCGGAGGTCATGATACTCGGCTGGGACCCCAGTAAGGTCCGGAGAAGACTCCTCCTGGCTCTCTGATGATTCTGGGCCAGGAGCAGGGGCGGAAGTGAGGCAGTTAGAGTGGCCAAACAAACTCCAGCTAAGTACCCTTTGGCCCTCCCAATCTAGCCGGGGATTATGGAGTCTTAGCCAGGAATAACCACAAGTTAATGGTGTATCTGGAGAGTGAAGGGCGTAAAAAACAAGACGTTGATGATTACCAGAGGTAATTACTGTGACGGGTTTAGCGTGGTAAAGGATTTGGACAAAAATGTGGTTGTCCACTGTTCAGTTATTTATTTGTAAAAAATGTTTGGAATCATGTCTTATTTTCGTTCCAGTTCTCACGTGTGCGCCACTTTGTGTTGGTCTTTCACGTGGGATTCCAATAAAATTGATTCATGTTTGTGGCTGTAATGTGACAAAATGTGGGAACGTTCAAGGGGGCCGAATACTTTTGCAAGCCACTGTAAATTGGAAATATTTCCTCTCTTTGTTGTGATCAGTGTTGGGCCATTACTCAAAAAAAGTACTGTTACATATTACACAGAACACTTTTATTAAAAGTAATGCAGTGTGTTTCTTAATTACTCACATTACACATGATTTTTCTCTTAGTAATAAGTATGAACATGAAGCCAACTGCACAAAGCAAAGATGAAAACCAGCACTAAGACAATTCAAAGTGATCGCATCATTGCACACCTGCCTACCGGTTATATATTTACAACAATCTTTAACAGTTATTACTTCTTCTAAGGGGTGCCTTCTTTGTTTATCTGCCCGAGAGCCGCCACCAGTCCCCTCTGAAGCCTTCCCCACACCGCAGTCTCAATTCATGCTCAAGCCACTTGACATTATTTACTAGAAATGCTGTCAAACCTAAAATGAAGATGTGGTCCCAGTCTTAGTTATGAGCTGGCTTAGGGGCCTATACAGAGCAGCAATGGACACAGTGCATCACCTTGGTACATACTTGATGGTGACTTGTGTGATTGGCTTGGAGTTGGCCTCCATTGTTGTAATCCACAGTCCCTTTGAGTTCCTGATAAATGCTATTAACATGCTTTTAGCCGTGTACAGTGGACAAGCACTCCACTATCTGTGTCAGGGACATTCGGTCATAGTGGGTTTCTGAGGATGGTCTGCCTGATCTTGGAGTCCCAAACAACATCAGATTTGAATTGATGGTTGCACCAAATGATATACATCAGAGTAACATATGGTTAGATAATATAGGCTTAGGGTTAGGGTATAGGTAAATGACACATCGCCCAATTACCATCCCGGGCTGAAAAGAAGAACATGACTGTGTCACTGCTTACTCACAGCATGCTTGAGCTCGCCCTCAGCCTCCCCCACAGCCCAGACATGTTCCAGGGTAAGCAGGCTCTTTCATTGCTGCTTTAATTTCTCTTATAATGGATTCCTTGGTTTTACTCTCAGTTTAGTCTTTCTCCCTTGTGTCTACTCTAACCTCCCTATGTTAAGTGTTCCTGTTATCTTACTTTCTGTTTTATTTCCAGTTTTATCGCTTCTTTGTGTATAGTGATGTGTATAACTAACTTCTTTTTGTTATCTCATCTTATTTAAGTCTCCTTTTGAGGATACAACCTGCATTCAGCTGTTACACCTCCATGCTGTGGAGGAGAAGGGTCTGGCTGCAGCCAGCTGCTCTTGTTGTGGAGAGCCATTTTGGCGTCCTCCGTCATCTGGATTGCTCTTACCTGTGTTAGCCAGTCTGGATGAGTATCTGCTGTTAGCAGCTCACTTATTGTACTGCCTGGCATTCCTGCAATGCCTTATTCAGGAGGTAGAGTAAGTCATCTACTAATCAGGAGGTTGGAGATTCAATCCCTGGCTGCTCCAGTCTCCGGGTTGCATGCCCAAGTATACTTAGGTATGTTCATTGAAGTATGACTCTGGAGCACTTTGCTTTCTTTCACTTTGAAGATGAATCTAATTCAGGAGTCGGATAAATCGGGTGAAATATATCTAAATATAAAGGTGAAATATAAAGTAGTGAAAAACAGTCAATGAAACCCTGGACCCACAGGGTCAATGCACATATTTGTAATTCATCCATTCATTCTGTACTATATAAACAAATTTAGAAGTGCTCAATAAAGCATTACATGTAAAGACCACAAAGGACCTAACAAAGAGGTTTACACTAGCTCATTTATTTGTTAAACATATTTACCTTAATCAAAAGTCCAAACAAAACAGGGGATAAAAAGTTAGTTATTTGATACACCAGAGGTCACTAACAGGCAGACTGCGGTCCGGACCCAGACCCACAAGCTGTCCCATATGGACCTGGACCTGCAGCCAAAACACAAGGTTATGGTCTAAGAGCTGAGGGGAGCTTTTAAAGCTGAAATCAATGAATGTGTACGTAAATGATGCCTATTTATTCATAATTGGACATATGGATTTAAAATAGCTTTACTCGTGGTCAGATTTATAATAATGGCAGGATATAAAAATAACATTGAAAGTTTTCATTCAGTTTCATCCCCCAAAAATCAAAGTAAGTCCCAAAGAATGAATGAAGTAGATGTTTTTGTATGAAGCATTTAGTCAAACTGCTGATCACCAGCCTGTGCTGAGAGCGAATTGGAGACATTTGCTCCCAGCAAACTTCTGAGCAGGCAAGCTTGCTCAACAGCTATCAGTAGACACACCTACTGTTCTTTCACTCCCTTCAACAATAACACAGTCATATTCTTCACCAGGACACAGTGCACAGCTCCTGTCGTGCAGACAGTCTCACGAGTACAACTCTGCACCCTCTTCTACTACCTGACCACACAGACACAGGGTAAGTAATAATATCAGCCCTAATTATTTTGTATCAAATCTAAGCAACTTGTTAAGTTTCAGATTGTTTAAACAGAACAAAAGTAGAAGCTGGAATTTAGGTGATATGTTATTGGGCTTAAAGCCTTTTCAGTGTAGTCTGTTGTTGTGTTTTCAGAAACAAACAAACGCTGACAAGTTTGTCGTTCACCTCCAGATTTGTCTGCATTAGATCTGATAAAGTTGTTATCTCCCAGTCGTTATTCATTCAGCTAACTATTAATTACACTAAAGCTATTCAAGTCCCTTCTTGAAACCTGATTTCTAATAAAACCCTCAAACAGAGAAAAGTATGAACAACAAACCATTTCTGCTTTATTTAAGAAAACTGTTCTCTCAAACAAAGTGTACCCTGTTTTTTCTCTCCCTTTCATCCTGGAACATGCAGCAGCCCATCTTTACAACAACTGTGACAGCAGCAGCATTCCAGCAGTCTGTCTTGCCTCTGTTCAGACATGTCGCTGTACAGTTTTGGACTGGAGCCGCTGTCCTGCCATACTTGGAACAAAGATAGGACCCGTAGGTGAAATACCAGAAAAAATAGTCATGCTCCATTTCCATATATAGAGTAGCTCACACATAAATGCACATATATGGATTGCATTAATGTGGTTCAGAGAAACGTTGGCAATCTTATTATCAGTACAGGAAATTGACTCAGAGAGCTTTAATGCATACATGTATGTATACACCTTGAGGTGATCTGTGCCTTTGAATAACATTGCACTTCACTACCTTTTTTTAATGTTATATAGAAAGCACTTAGGTGTAGAAGAAATTGCTTGTATGAATGGGTGTGAACAGGTGAATGAGGCATGTTATACAACCATCAAGTACCTGCAGAGGGTCAGGCAAGTCCTGAGGAGTCAGCTGAATG